TGTAAGTAATTCACCTTTTACACTGGCTGTGGTCTTTAAAATATGGCTTAAAATAATTCATTCAATAAATACTTTGCATCCTTTTCAGGGATGTTACCATGTTATTCAGGGGAAATAGAGGAACAAAATAGACATGATTCCTGTCCTCACAGAGCATACAGTTTAGTAAAGGAAGGGAGGGAAGGAAAGGGGAATGGACAAGTGCCCCAGGCAGAGTGCAGTGTCGTGATTAAATCCCCAGAGGAAGAGAAGGCACGGAGCTTGAAGAGAATCTAATGCTGTCTGGCAGGGACAAGCCTGCAAATGAGGCTGGTTCCGTAAGCTCCACCGTGAGTACCAGTGTGAGGAAGCGGTTCAGACGCCATTGTATTATAAGCGGAGGAGCTGAAAGATCAAATTTGCCTTTAAATAATGAAAACAGCTACCATTTCTTGAGATCTTATTACATGCCGGTCCCTCAGGTAATATTTTTACACTTACTATCTTTTTAAATTTCTTACAATAATTGCCCAAGTAAGTACCTTTATTTCTCCCAGTTTACCTGTGAACCAACTGAGGCTTAGCGAGATCAAGCGAAATGTCCATTGTCATTCAGCTAGTAAGTGGTAAGAATTTAGCAGCCCTCATGAAAAGATTTGTTTTATCTTTTCAACACCGTGGTTACAATGACAGGACTATGAGCTTCTCAGGGGGCTATAAAAATATTTGATATTAAATAATAGTAGCACCAAATTTCCAAAAGAAACTGCCACATTAACATTAATTAATACCATTGATATGCTGATTGAATTAAATCAGTACAAAATATGACATCAGGTCAACTTAACTGTTAAGCTTAGTATTAAAACAATTCCATTCCATTTGGAAACAATTTATCGATCGGATAGTCTAATCCTGGAAGAATTTCTCAGTGTGCATGTTACTGTCTAAAATCATAGCCAATCATGAATTAATTGGATTATTTACAGTTCAACAATTTCAAAGTGAAATTATAAAAATATATTCAAATTATATACAGGACAAATGACATTTAATACGGCACACCAGAGCATCTTATATGTTGGTTATGATGCTGTGATATAAACTTTAAAACAGAGAACTGACTCTGGGTGGTAAACGCACAATATGATATCTAGATGATGTATTACAGAATTGTAAACCTGAAATCTATGTAACTTTGCTAATAATTGTCATCCCAATAAACTTTAATTTAAAAAATAAATAAATAAAAATAAAACGAACAAACAAAAAAACAACGTGTTTGGAATCCATGACAGTTTTAACGTAGTCCTGGCAAAACTGACCCTTATTTTTAGACACCAATTTATCTCAAATGTGTTATTAAAAAAATAGAAAGAAAGAAATGCCATCCTCAGAAATGAAAGTAGAGTTTGCAATAAACATACTTTGGTATATTAAAAAAAGTCCTCTCTCTGAGTTCCATGTAGTCCTGAGTCATTGATTAGAAACTTTCAGCCGCATGACTGATTTGGGAAAATCATGATATGTCTATGCTAGTACAGAAAAATATTGTGTATAAAAAAAAAGAAAAAGGTGCAGAAAAGATACGTCTCCTACGTCTCCTCAGAATTTGTCTGATTTTATTTCTTTGATGTGAGATGAAATTTTTGCTCTATTGAAAATGCACTAATCTCTTATCGTTGTCTAGACACAGAGGTTGAGAACAGTCATTTGTCTTTGCTTTCTGAAAGCAAAGAGAACTCTGATACTTGCAATTGCAGCAGCGGACACCTTAGGAATTACTCTGTCACCATGCCATGGGGCGTAACCATGAACAGAAATCCAATTCACTTTTAAAGGGAAGATGAGAAATAATTGAGAAGTGACTATCTTAAACAAACAAACAAGCAAAGCAATGGAAGATTGTATCCAATAAGAATAAAGAGAAAGAACTTTTAAGTAACTCAGTCCAGGGGGTACTTAGTAAAAACTTAAGTTGATGATGAGTTACTACCCTGGGAACATTACATGATAATATTTGATAATGCTCTATTCCAAAGAGTTAAAATTAGTATTTTCCTTCCTTCCTTCCTTCCTTCCTTCCTTCCTTCCTTCCTTCCTTCCTTCCTTCCTTCCTTCCATCTTTCTTTCCTTTCTTCTTTCTCTCATCCTCCCTCCCTTTCCTTTTTCCTTTCTTCCGTTCTCCCTGTTCCCTGTCTCTCTTCCTTAATCTACTACCTTTGTTTTTCTTTTTTGTGTTCTCTTTACACTTGGTCTTCACTGAAATCACACAAACATCAGCTTTTATTTCCAGGATGGTTATTGATAGAGTTTGCAAAGGACAGAGGTTTGCCTTGAGTGATGGAAGAACAGGTGTCTTCTAGTTCATAATTATTCTCTTAATGGAAGGAGCTTTTTGGGGGTGGGGAGGAAACCTTGATCTTAGATCTCTTTTGAGGCATATGTTCATTGTTTTTGACCCACAAAAGCTTCGGAAATTTTTATATTAGCAAAATTCAGGATAAAATCTTAACGGTTTTTAGTGCTAAGGCTCCTAAGCCTCACAGTTCAAGCCTCGAAGCACAGTGTATTTCCAAAGGTAAATAAGCCTGACAAGTTAAGTTCAATGTCACAGCCCTAGTGGATCTCTAAGGGGTTTGGTTGTAACCAGGGTCTTTCCTAGGATTTGGGGATTTCTTCAGACAATTCTTTTTGCCAAAGAAAACTTGGTGGATCCAAAATGATAAGAATTTGCTTCACCAACCTGGTCCCACATCACCATTAAGAGATCCCAGATACATTTAAGTTAAGAACCATGTGAAACTGGAAAAAGAACCAAAAGAAAAGCTCACACTTAAAAAAAGAAGTCCCTACAATATGACACTATTAAGCAGCAATGTTACAGAGTGTGTGTGTGTGCATGTGTGTGTGCACACTAATGTACGAATGTATGTTTGTATCTGTGCACGCATGTGTACATGTGTTTTTATCATATGAAATATGAAATAATTGAACATTTTTGTACAAGGTAAGTGGCCTAAAAGTAATGTAAGAGTCTCAGTCTGGCACTGTGTCCAACTTAGTTTTGAGCAGAGAGATTATGGGATCAGCAAAATTATGCTATCATAATTTTGGTCTTTAACAACTTGGATATACAAACCTTGGTTTGTGAGTGTTCTGCAAGATGAGCAAACACTTCCAATACATTTTAACTTGGTAAATGGACAATGTCTTGCAATACAAATAGTTTGTTTCCGGAACGAATTATGCTCACAAACCAAGGTATTACTGTATATACACATCAGAATATATAATATATATACAACTATATATATACATATTAGAACATGTATTATATATAATTATATATATCAGAATATACATAATGTAATATATAATTGTATACATATCAGACTATATAAGACAATTATATATATCAGAATGTATAAAATATAATATATATAATTATATATATCAGAATATATAATATAATTATATATCAGAATATATATACTATATCATTATATAAATAAGAATATATGCAATATATATAAAACTATATATCAGAATATATAATACATATCATTATATATATCAGACTATATATAATATATATTTCATTATATATATCAGAATATATAATATACTATTGGCATACAGATGGGTGTTTCTACCCAGCGTGTGGCCCATTTCCTTCTCTGCCAACAGCACTGGGCACATGTCAGCTCTGGCGTCAGTGTGTCACTTCTCAGTAAGTTGGTGATGTCATATCATTTGGAAATAGTTCAGTGAGTTTAATTTTTAAGTGACGTTTATAAAGAAAGGCATTTTGAAAAGCTCTAGTTTATTTGCTATGCAAATATTAACTTTGTTGAGCCTCAGGCTTCTAATTTGTAAATTGGGAGATTCATAGTGAACTCTGTAACTCTAAAAAGTGTCTTTAGGATTAGAGATAACTTAAGTGTAGCTTAAACAGAAGCTGGGATGTACCAGGCACTCAATATCTAACAGCTAATAATAGAAATGTTTGTGATAAAAGCGGAGATGTCAATTTTTCTTTTTATGCCTCATTTTCCTTTACTCTATCTAATATCTTCAGATATACAGTAAAACCTTGGATTGCAAGTAACGTGCTTTGCGAGTGTTCCTCATGATGAGCAAACATTTCTAATACATTTTAACGTGGTAAATGAGTGATGTCTTGCAATATGAGTAGTTTGTTTCTGGGACAAATTATGCTCGCAAACCAAGGTATTACTGTATCTGAAAATCAGCATTCTCAGTATGCCATAAATTGTATACTCCTTGGATAAAGACAACTCTTTCCATCCCAGATTCTAATATCCAAAGTATCGTGTCAGTGTCTTAAGTGGCAAATCTGGGCTCCTTAAATAGAGGAAGAGTTAGGGGAACACTTCTTAGTTTTGAAAAATACTATTATTATGAAATAATGCAAAAGTCTTAGAGGACGTTTATAAAATTTAAAACAAATTGAGATAAGTTAGAGAATGTTACATTGAAAACATAAATACAAGCATAATGACATAGACTTCAAAACTAGAAAGAAAGAAAGAATGAGAGAATAAAAGGGGAGGAAAGAAGGGAGGAAGGAAGGAAAGAAGGAAAAAATTGGAGTGAGTGAAAAAGACATTTTAGGACAGAGAAGCCCTATAGACCAAAGCTGAAAATAAAGCACCAAAAATCATCATGTCACTTGCTTTTTCCCCTAATGGGGTGTTGTTGCTCTAGCAATCACTCTATAGAAACTAACTCTAAATGGGGTAAAATGTTTAAGGGAACAGGAGTTATGCTTCCAGGGATTTTTTTTCTTTATTCCCAGGAGCTCATCTTCAAATAAATCACCATTTTAGAATCAACTCTTATGAAATTGTTTCATCGCTTGCCAATGATTACCCAGCATCAGAAGTATTTTGGTGTCTTGAAAGAGCACGTCGCAAAACAAACCGGAAGTCTGCAAGCTGTTTCTGTCACTGCCGACTTGATTCAACTAACAGTTTGTCTCTCCACCTTGTCCACAGAACCGAAAGTGAGCTGCAAACTGGGACGGTCTGCGTCCACATCAGGTGTGCCCCCTCCTTCAGTTACTCCTCTCAGGCAAGCCAGTGACCTGCAACAGAGCCAGGTACCATCATCGTTAGCCAATCGTGATTGACTTCCTGTGATGCAACATGCCAAACGCTTCTCACCTGTCTGTCCTGTGTTGCTGTGGACGAGTTTTGCGTTTGCTTTTACTTTTCTATGTGTGTATGGGTCGGGGGGATGAGTTGTGGCCGTCTGTGTTTCCATCCCAGAAGGAAAGTCTTTCTTCCCTGTGATTGGTGAAACTCTCTTTGCTGTTACCGAATCTTCTGTGTCTCTGGTTTCCATCATTCTGTAATATAAATGTAGTAAACCTGTACTATATGTATTGGCGTAGCAGTTATTTTTTAAACTTCTTTCTCTCTTCCACATTTTGTGTACTTTGATACTGTCTCTGAAAATTTATCAACATTTGATAAATTTATCTACTTTGTTTTCTGTAGATTTCCTTTTAAATGTTTTGTCCACGACACTTGCACAGATGTTGTCAATGGATTTGTACATATCTTTTAGCTCTTATCCTATTATACTGTAACAATTGTGGTCATTTTACTTTCATTTTTATTTAGCTTGGAGCATGATTGTATGACACTGTGATGTTGATAGCCTTATAAATATCCATATACCAACTCATCTGGAATGAACATGGCAGCTAGTTTTCTGTCTCAGGCCATAAAGACAAATAGACAGACCAGATACTCTAGATAGTTACCCAAAACTATAGATTGATAAGGTAATCTTTAAATAAATGAATCACTTCTCTCTTATACCAACCATATCAGAAATGTTCTCAGAAAGGAGATGTAAGTGTTCATGCATGGTAAATGAGATCTCTATTATCACCTGGAGAAAAGAGACCAAAAATAAAGACATAAGCGAAAATATCACTTAGTCCCTCACAGTATAATATGTCGCTCTGATGTTCATTTGGATCCTTGGTGTGTACGGGGAATTTAGTATGGGGAAAAAAAATCACTATATGTAAATCTCTATCTATAACTCACCCAATAGGAATTCAAGACTTCAATTTCATGTATGATGCTTAATTGTTATTACTGTTAAGTATTATGGGTGTTAACAGGATGACATCATACTGGAGTGGTTTCTCTCTGCTTCCCAGCTTCGATCTTTGCATTTGTAAAACTCTTCTCAGATAGTCAATTAGTAAAACTAGTGATGATACCTCCATGGGAACTGCCCATTGCTAATTAGCAAATTATGTATTCATCAATTATTTAAAATGTCAAGCTATTTAAAAACATAACTAAGCAGGAAATTGCATTTTTTATAATGTGGGAAATGGTGCTATTTTAGTAATTTGGTCTGGCTCAAATATGCACAGAATTTGATTTATGAATATATGAGACATCTACAAACACAAGAGATAAGAGGCTCCTCTCAAGGGCATCTCAAGTGTCATTTAGAATTTTCTGTGTCTTAATTTAAAATGTTAAATGCCTTCATAACTAAATGTGTCCAGCTCAAACACTTTTTGGTTATAAAAGAAGTAGGAACAATAAGACAATGAATTAATAAATAATGCAATTAAGCTAAGATAAACTGCCATCTTAGTTGATTAAAACTATTCTAAAAATACCACATTTTTAATGTTTAGAAAATTAGATACAGAAAGGAGAGACTTTTAGCTAACTAGCAGAGGATTGCCTTAATATAATCAATTCTCCAAGTTAATGTGTCTTGCTATTGCATTATGCTCAATATCGCATAGAGATTTTGTGTTGGTTTTGTTTTGTTTTGTTTCCCTGTTAACTTTACAGTGTTTGATCCTAAGTCCCTTTAACTCTCAATGAAAGCAGGTGCCTGGGATAAACTTTCAGAACAGAAATGAGGTACAATCTTTGTGGTTTTGCATTATCAACTCTTCCCTTGCTTGTTGGGATGTTCTTTGTTCTTCAAATTATAGCAACATGAGAAAGTGCCTCACGTTGGTTATATACTGCTAGTTTTCTCTCTGCACAGCAGAAATCCTGCCACACAGTCATATTGTAGATGGACTGTCAGGGCTACGAATTAGAAGGCTGGCCTCTGCGTCTCTCTCCTGTGGCTTGCGATGGTTTGTAGAATTTGCCTAGCCCTATATCCTGGAGCTCAAAAGGTAAACTCGGTTCAGAAAAACCTTGCTTTACATCCTATGACTTCTCTTTAAACGAAAGTCAATGGGAACTTATTGGAAGATCCTTTTTAAGAGTTACTATGCTGTTACCTGAGATGTCTCTTTAAGTGACTACCAGGATGACACTGCCCTTTGCTCAGTAACCCAAGGCAATGGTGAAAGATAGTTCAACATGTTTAATCTAAGAGTGAATATTCATACACCAACAGGATATGGGACACCTAGTGTTATCAAAGAAACAAGCAGTTAATTTTTAAGCAGGTTTTCAAACACCAGGATTCCCAATAATTGCTAAAACTCAGAACGTTTAATAGCAGATGAATAGATATCTTACTAGTACATCATTGGAAAACCCTATGATTTATTTAAAACAAGCAAAAGCAATCACCAACCCCCAAAGTCATTCCCATGGCGCTTACCTGCTGAGGACTCTGGCTTTGGGAAGGCTGTGCCATTTCATCCACATCCCCAATGTGCACAGAGGAGGAACTGTGCTTTCCTTCAGATTGTTCATGCCTTATCTCTTTTCAGCTCAAGTTTTCCACTTACCTCTTTATGTCACGGTTGGTGCACTCTAAGAAATGTACAGCAGGAGTGAGTAGAAATGCTTGACATTACTTCAGCAGAGATGCACAGAGGTGACCAACGTGACTGATGCTCAACCCCAGGAGCCTAGGCCAGTGACCTCCCCCAAAGAACCTGGGGACAAGCATTCCTGACTGACCCATGGAGGCGTTCAGGGCTCGTTGTGCCTGACTGTCGCCATTTGTGTATGAGCAAAGGTGAAGGTCGTGTTTGTTTGGCGTTGCAATCTGTTTTGGCTTCGGGCAACGACAGCAGGCACAAGACTTGTGGAAATCTATCATCATCTGCCTGGAACTTCATATTATGTATGAGAAAATGGGGAGGGGATGAGTTCTACAGCATTTGTGGATTGCTCCACACTCATAATATTCTCTGAAAGAGTACAACTCAGAGAGATGGAAAACAGATTTTCTTCTTTATTAATTCACTCCTGAATAAATAAAGTAGACAGAGGCAATTAGAGGAAAGTGACATTTCCTTAGAGTTTTATTGCAATGCAGCCGCACATTTTGGCATTTGTCATAACGCAAATCTTTGGAAATTAGACTGAATTTCTGTGCCTGCCACAAGAAAGCTGTTTTCTTTTCTTGGTTGGTAAAACTGTATAGAAGTCATATATTGATCTTGGAGCACATACACCTTTCTCTTTTTTTTTCTTTAGTAAAGAAAGAAGTGTGAGCTCTCTTACAGGCAGTAGGTGATGGTCCTGTGACTCCCCACCCCTTCCCTCTGCATTGACTCCCCTTCTGTTGGGAGTGACACCTTCTATGATCTCACTGTAGCAAGTGATGGACTAGCAACTAATGCCCATGGCCTTGTGACAGCCATACTTTCCTTCAAGAGTGCAGTCGCTAGGGTGCATGCCAGCTCTTCTTGGAGAAATGTTGCCAAAAAATGTTTGCATTTGTTTTTCTGGGAAGGAAAGAGATGAGAGCTGCCTTGTCCACTACACACACACTCACACACACACACTCACACTTATACACTCTCACACTAGATGCTTATTCACACTCATCCACACAAATCTCACATACTCACGCATACACATACATACTTACTCAGACACACAATCACTCATACACACACACACACACACACACACCACACACACACACACACACACACACACACACACACTTCCCATTTTTAGAATAACAGCTCCCCATGTTGAATCAGGGAATCCCGGAGGTAACAGTTACCTAAGTGTTGGACAGAAACCTCCTTCACCTTTTCTCTGAGGCTTATTGTTCAAAACTAAACTCTGTCTGTTTACCCTTGATTTGTGGCAGGAGATAGAAAAAGGCTCTCTGTAATTTCCTTTGGATGTACACTCTGAAGTCTGAGAGACCCAAATCTTTAGGAATCTAAATATCACCTTTGAAGCCATTATCTCATGTTCCATGTTCACTGTGTGTCGTGAGAACTGCCTCTCACCACGATGGACTTCTCCCAGGCCGGTCCCTTCTGGGTACTTGCAAGCCATTACCCAGGTGAACAATCCCTGTTCCTTTCAACTTGCCCCTTCAGGTTGTTTCTCAAATATTTCTTTCTTTTGAAGGCTGCTTTCTGGACTCTCTCCAGGCTCCTGACATCCCCCTCAGCTCGATGACCCTGCTGGGGTGTAATGAGAACCTGCCTGGGCTGCCTGCAGGGCAGAGCCCACTCTCTCTTCCTGTAGGCTCCAGAGCTATGCCAGCATCTATATGCCAGCATCTGGCCAGGTTCCTGAAAGAACGCGGTAGGGTGTCTATAGTTTAATGCATATCCAGTGTGTTTCTGGACAAGCCTGATATCAAAATTGTTTTTCATTTTCGCCACCTTAAAAAGAAACAGAGATAAATCATCCAAAATAGAGATTAGGAATCAGTATATATGAAAGATTACGCTGGAGGATTTAGGCGGATTCTGTGACAAGGGCTTTACCAGTATAGAGGCACACGTCCAATGTCCAGAACAGTGTGTGACACTCAGTGACCTTTTGCTGACTTACCAAATATGTCTCTCAATAAATACCCCTCTCTCTATAGCCTTGGAAACAACATTTTTCTCACACAATCTGATTTTTTCCCTTCCCTGAGTCCTTAATACCTCTAAAGCAGTGAGGTGATTTGATTTATCGTACAGCGTCAGTAATGCTGTGCCGTAAAACTTTGAGAAAAGTTCTGGGCTGTCATTTAACTCCCCAGATAGTCAGGACATTTGCACATAAAACTTGTAGGAGCCTGGAGAGCATGAGGAAGGTTCAAGTCGAAGGGAGACTGAGCATATTAACATAAATACTCAAACAAGGACATAGACAGAAATTCAAATTTCATCTGTTCAGT